CACAAGCTAACAAGATCAGTTCTATGATTTTAGTTAATTGATTAGAACTCTCCTTGCTTTTCTGCTTTATACTGATAAGACTCTAATACATTTTCAATGAAAGCCTTTTTTTTGCCTCCTAAGGAGCTACTAGCACATTCCTTTCAATGTGCATTCCCCATTATGTGCCTTCTGAATCTCTACTCTGAATGTAGATAGAAACATTAATATTTGCACTTTTGTCCAGCTTCCTCATGAGTTGAGTTCTACTGTTTGGGGTTACCCAACTATTTGGGGACCATATCTTTCTGGTGCTCTAAATCAGGGGTGTCAAACTTGCAGCCTGTGGGCCAGATGCATCACAGGCAGGCCACGCCCACCCCAGCTCCGCAAAGGCAAAAAAACATAGCGTCATGAGACACGATCAAGTTTGACACCCGTGCTCTAAAGCAAAGGAAAGCCTGGATAAAATTATAAACATTGTCGCATGATATTCACAACTGCTTTGCATAACCAAGTTGCCAGTTTCAATTGTTGTGGTCCCTTAAAGGAAGGCTACCAGTGGTGGATCTTTGGTCCTGTGGTGGAATGTTGTCAGGCAGGAGGGGCTGTATTGCAGAAAAGCAAGAGACAGTGAAGTCTAGATAATTTGGTTGAGAGGAAGTGGATCAAAAAAAGCTTCTCCCTAGGAGTTCTTAGAGTTATACCTTTTAGTGGTGCAAGTAGTTGGGTTTAGTTTGGAAAGATTTTTATCTACAGGTGAGGAACAATTAAGGGAATTGATTTGAAGTAACTCAGAATGTCTTTCTTGGTTTTTGAAGTCGTACAGGTGAGGAATAGAAACATTTTTCAGACTATCCCAAGCCTACTGGATATGACTACTAGAGTTTGGTATGAAAGTGCAGCTAACTTCCTTATCCAAGTTGTAGCCTGAAGGTTCTAGAGACTTCTGTGTAATGTTTTGGTGATATTTTGGTTTGTTCTAATAAAGGAATTTTCCTCTGATGAGTTTAAGACTCAACTGTACATAAACTTGGTTAATTTTTTTAGCACTTCCAATAAAGGAGGATGGAAAATGTATGCATAGACCAACTGAGAGCCAGTGACTTTTATGGTGAATTATTCCAATGTCTTTTCAATTTGAAGGCTCTTGAATTGCTGAAATGTTCAGAAAACCTCTGAACAAAAGCTGAACTTCTGTAGAAAGAGTAAAATATGAATACGTATGAATACATGTTGGGTGAAGGATATTTGCTTAAAAAAAGTAAATCTTGGATAGCATAATCATTCTATTATTAGATTCTCAATCACTGTATATGACAGTATACTTTCAGTTCTTTTTAAATAAAATGTTCACTTTTTATTTAATTCCTAGTTTGAAGAAATGAATCATTTCTTTTTCCTACTTCTTGTGGCCCATTTTATTTTTAATCTAAATTCCTGTGACGATTTTTTGCTCGTGCTACAATAATAATTTAGATGATTGACAATATCATTCAAAACATTGTACACTGTAATATTGCTTTAATAAGATATTGGTACCTACTTCTGCACCCTGGTGGTTTGAATGTAGTTCTGCAAGCTACTTCTGCCAACTGCCGGCTGCCTATTGTTTGGCAATTCAATTCTCAAAGGCTTAAGGTTGACTCAGCTTTCCATCCTTCTGAGATCGGTAAAATGAGGACCCAGATTGTTGGGAACAATATGCTGTTTCTGTAAACTGCTTAAAGAGGGCTGTAAAGCACTGTGAAGCAGTATTTAAGTCTAAGTACTATTGCTATTTTATTCTCAAGCCTTTAAACTTTGTTTATACAGTATATCTTCTATTAACCTTTTTTTCTCAGGTCTCTGCATTTTCCACATGGGAAAAAGAACTTCATAAAATTGTGTTTGATCCACGTTATCTTCTACTCAACTCAGAAGAACGTAAACAGGTGAGTTCTTGTTTTGGTAGCTTTTTAAAAGAAATACAGGCTATAATATAAAATTGATCATAAAATTTAAATAATATTACACTTTAATGACCTCATTAAAGGTCAAATTATATTGTCATTTTTAGAACATCAATAAAAATGTGGACACTAGATCAGAAGTGAATTATTATTAAATCACATATTTTAATAGCCAGGGAGATTTCTATCAGCTTTTATCTGATGCAATGAAGAAAGTCTCAGCTTATTCTCTATTGAGAGAGCATTTTATGATCGGATGTTATCACCAACAAGTGATAACTCTGTCTTGGTACACAACATTTTATAAAATGCACGTTTCATTTTAATTTGGGCTGCATAAGACATCATCAGTAACCATGACGTGTGTGCATAAAATTGGGGGTATTTGACTCTTATGTTTTCAAGTTGAAATTTTAAACATTTGAGTTTAATTAATAATAACTAATACAAAATGTCCTGTACATTTAATAATTGACTAACTGTTACCTTAAGAGAGTTAGTTCCCTGATTATATTAGAATGTCTCTGAGGATTATCCTCAAAGGTTTCTATCTTACATAGGTTAATGTTGTATCTAGCATTTATTACCATGGACTTCAACTAAAATTATTTAAGTTGAAATATTCTTCCTTTCATTGCAAGAACAAGGACTTGTGATCCCCAGGTATGGTTGAATTACAATTTCCAGTCATACTGTGGTGAAGAATGCTAGAAATTTTCTGCAAAATTTGAACCATCAATGATCCTCAATATTTTTTATTGCTTTTGAGCATACCAGCTTGAAAAATACAATGCTGGATGAAAAGAAAGCTTTTCTATAAAAGCTGTTATTAATATTGTGCAGATTAAGGTGACCATCTTAAATTGGTATTGGTTGTTATTAATGGGCAGAAAACTATTAGTTTTCTAATTTGTTTTTATGGCCATTAATTATAATTTATTTTTTATTGTTATAATGAGAAGGGATGTTTCTATGATTTTCTTTCCTGTTTACTGCAAATTGATGCCTGTTGATTGATACATATATCGTTGGGTCTGACCCTTTGTTGATGCCTACAAAATAATTTAAAAATTATCATTTAATTCATTCTTTCTTCTATTTATTAAAAACTGACATTAAATTTAAACATTTTGGTGAGACATCTCTAAATATATATATTTTATCAAAACATAGCTGCATTGTTACCCTAAAATGATTGTGAGGATTTAGAATAAGAAGCTAACAGTAGATCTGAATATTTCACATAGCCCAGGGAACTCTCTATTTCTTTTGGTGACATAAGTAAAGGTCAAATCTAGTTATTCCAACAATTTTTAATATCCTTTCATTTGTTAAGCATGTACATGATATAGGAGAAGCATTTAATGAGCAGTGACAGTTTGCATGTAAATCACAGTCCATTTTGAATACATCCGAAACAGAAAAAAGAGTCTTGGGAGTTAACAAGGTTGATATTATATGGTACAAAGCTATTACAAAATCTGGATGTTCGACTTTGGATACACACAAAACCTCCTCCCAGAAGGTAGCAAAGAAAACCGGTCATGGAGAGGATGTGTAGCATCCCTGACAATACTGCAGACTATTGTCAAGCAGTGGTTAGATGACATGTCCTGGATAGAAGGAAGTGAACTTCCAATAATCTTTTCTGCTGTCCTCACCACTCTCTGCACTGCTTTCCTGTCCAAAACAGTAATACTGCCAAATCACACAAGTAATACAATATGACAGGATGATTTCAATCTTCTGCATATTTTGGGCACTTGACCAATATAAAAACCCCTTATTATATTTCTTTGGTTAAAAGGTCAATGTTTTATTTGATATTTTTGATTACTAGGAAAAAAGTAATATTTGCTGAAGGCATTACATGAAGCTTGATTTGCTATTTTGAAAGATTAATGCACAAAGTTAGTTTATTTGTCTCACTTTTAATGAACCTTCTGATAAACTGGCAAAGCATAAGAAGCAATGGTCAAAAGAAATGTGCATGATTAAATGATGCTGAGGCTAAAAGCTAAATCTTTGTGCAGATTTCCAGAACTAACAATAAACGAATTCTCTTTGAATAGGGGCGATGGACAATTTATAGGAAACATTAAAAACTTACCTGTATATTGTACAGAATAGGATAGTAGACTGAAAGTTTTGTGTTCATCTGAAATATTTTTGATTAATGTGTATGGAGTCATGGTTGAGTTGAAGATTTCCCTGAAAAATTATTGCTATCAGATCTGGGATACAACAAGAAAAATGAGTGGCAGGAAAAAAAATGCCAGTTTTTTTTTAAACTTATTGGTGCTGTCACACTGTTATTAATATGCGTGCAGCCCACATCTGCTATCCTACTTCATATAAGTAGAAAATCATAATGATAGATATGGAAGTCTTTTGGAGAAAATTCATATGCATCCATGAAGGGCAGTGATTAAAAAGAAGTCGAGGTGGTGCAGTGGTTAGGGTGCAGCACTGCAGGCCACTTCAGCTGACTGTTATCGGCAGTTCAGCGGTTCAAATCTCACCAGGCTTAGGGTTGACTCAGCCTTCCATCCTTCCAAGGTGGGTGAAATGAGGACCCAGA